TAATCTGCAGTACAGTAGCATATGCCTTATGACTGGTTAAACAAATGAAAACAAAGAAGAAATCATGTCAATAGAGCCCAAAATGGAAGATTTAAAAAATCCTGTCAATAGTGCCAAAAATGGCACTGCTGACAGGACGATCCTGTCAATAGTGTACAAAAATGGCACTGCTGACAGGACGATCCTGTCAGCAATGCAGTATTTCCTGTTATTGACAGGATAGTCCTGTCAGCAGTGCAGTATTTTCTGCTATTGACAGGATCGTCCTGTCAGCAGTGCACTATTTTCTGCTATTGACAGGACGATCCTGTCAGCAGTGCAATATTTTCTGCTATTGACAGGACTATCCTGTCAATAGCCTCAGGCTATTGCGAATTACGTTGATTTTGGGGGAGGCTGCCTACGGATTACGAAGAACAAAAAGGTCTGATTACGCCTTACGAAAAAGGGCATGCGGGCCCTCGTCAGAGGCTGTGGGAAAGGGTAGAAATTGGTCCTGTTAAAGACAGACAACATACAAGTTTTTAAGAGGACAAGTTTTTGAATATGTAATCACTCGACATGTGTAATTCAGCCAACAATGCATATGGTTGCCAATCAATGTGATTAAACAGTTTAGCAGTTATGACGCCAGAATTGCCCCGAGGAAGGTGACAGATGGTCACAGAAACGTCGACTCAGAATAAAACACTTGGTTGTACCGAGTGAGTTTAAATAGTCCGCTAAAGGAGTACAATTTGCCGATCTTATGTCCACTACATGTAGCTCTTTCCAGCCTCTTCCGAAGCCCGGTAGAAGCTAATCTCAAATAAGGAAAATGTGATGATGAGATAAAATGCTTCACGTGTTTTAGCAGGTTTACAGGCTGGGGGTTTTAATTTAAGTAAGCAGATACCAGTGAGCTCATTACTGCACGTGTGTGGGTGACACATATAATGAAAGCAACAAAAGACACAAACACAAACTACCAGGAAAGGATGGTTAAAGATGTGCGATCGTACAATAAATCTCAGCCTCCTTCGCAGACCTGTTGGGCGTCGGCGTTACTTTTTTTTCTGTATTTAGCGACGAGAGTTATGCCGCAGAGGGACGATTTTGCCGCCGAGGGAATTTTTGCTGTGGTGAGAAGGTTTCGGCAGCAAAATCGTCCCTCCGCGGCATATAATAACCCGCGTCGCTCACAGAAAAAAATAACGCCGTCGCCCAACAAGTCTGCGAAGGAGGCTACTATATTAAAAAGCCCAGATATGCGCGACTTCGGTACGAGCCACCGCTTGGGCTTAACATCTGACCTACTTTTAAATTAGTGCATTTGCATGTATTTCTAGCCCAAGTAGCCCCGCCCTCACTACTTACTAAAGAAGTTGCTGAAAATTTGAACAATATGAACCGTACTACAAGAGAGTGAACAGTGGCTATGCAAGAAAATCTTCGTTCTAGTTTTCGATCGGGGCGCAAAAAGCAGTATTTATTAAGGTATCTTCCGTATCAGGCTTATAGAACTGAGGGTTTGGTGGTCTTCGGCTGTTTTCTGATTAGCCAGTTCTAAAAAACGGGGGTAATTCAATCAGGCCGGCTATGTTGTCTGTATGCAATCAGAAAATAAGCACATGAAAGCTCCCAAAGACCATAAAGACCCCCAAACCCCCCAGTTTTTGGCATGCTATGGAGGCTAAGTATAATAAGATGACTTACTTCAATCTGCTTGTAGGAGAGGAGCAAAAATCTCGGAATGCAGACACCGGGTCGCACGCGGCTTGTCAGTGGTGTGCGGGTGATCAGGACGGGAGGACCGGTTTAACTGGCTCTGTGGTGTCCTGGCAACGCGTCAGCCACGCCCCTTTTAAAATGTAGGCTCAATTGAGCCCCTGGTTTAATACCAAGGGAATCTAAAAAAATGGCTCATCAAAATAAAAATAAAAAACGTTTAATCATTAAGTAAATAAGAAAATGACAGCACTGTGTCTATAAACGGAACTGGTCTTACTGGTTCTGGATACCTAGCCACACCCCTTGTAGAAATAAATGTGGATTCATCGCAATTAAGCCCCTGGTTACCAAGGGAGTGTAAGAAAATGGCAAGATCAAAATTTTAAAAATGCTTAAGTATTAAGTAAATAAGAAAACAACAGCACGGTGTCTATAATCTATAATCCGTTAGGGCCAAATAGACTAATAAAAATGACAACCCCTGTTGCAAAATGTACTGCTATGACCTGCTAACTCCTAGAATATAAGCCAGCCCGGGCCAATATAACCGGGCCAAAATCAGTTATCAGGACGTAAGCTCTCATTGATGTCCGTACTTTGGTCACCTCGGATATTTGCATGATTAATGAGACATGCTGTGACAGCTATGCCATGTTTAAACTTTCATACATTGGAAGTTTTTGATTTTAATTTGGGTGGAGAAGATGCGATTTATGCAGATGAGGACCTTATTTCCATATCTGATGAGAAACTTCTTTTGATAATGCTTCATCGGAAATGGAGATAACCTCGTATTTGTGCCACAGGTGGGTTAGGTTGAGGATGCATCATAATACTTCATGTAGTACGTGAGTTGTGTAACTTAGGGTTTACATCATGTATCTGTATCAGTATAGCCGGTATAACCGCCTTTCGGCGTAACACACCAGCATCACAGTGGTATTCATTCATTCATTCATTCAATCATTCATTCGTTCATTCATTCATTCATTCATTTTCATTCATTCATTCATTCATTCATTCATTCATTCATTCATTCATTCATTCATTCATTCATTCATTCATTCATTCATTCATTCATTCATTCATTCATTCATTCATTCATTCATCTTGTTCCCACTGAATCCAATACAGGTGAAGACCACATAACATTATAATCACCAGCATTTGCCTTCTATAATTGTAGAACACGAATTTTATTCCCATATTTTCTGTGGAACACTTGTGTACTCCTTTATAAGCAAATATTCGCACATTTTATAAAATTAGTTGGAATAAAAAGAGCTGTCAGAAGGCATCTCCATGACGACCACCCTATTCCTGATGGCTCTGCTTCAAACCACCTTGTTCCTGATGGTCCCAATCCCATCAATCTCACATTCCACCACATCCCCACGCTGAAGGACAAAAAGAGATACAGGATATTAAAAAATAAGCATTTATAAGAGGGGCTACTCAGGTATTTTTTTTGAAAGAACGATTCCACATTTTTATGCCACTGAATCAAATGAATCATCAATAATTTTGGGACAGAATGCTAGTTATTGACTGACACAATTTCAATGTTTCTTTAATGTGCATTGTATTTTACAGCAAACTTTAGGCAACTATTAAAAGGAGGTTAAAATCAAGATTTTTAACCTCTTTGAGGCAAATAATGGAATGAATGGAATCACTATTTTCATTACTATTTATTACATACATTTACATTTATACATTATTATCAATATAATTGATTATTAATGTAAACTGGCTAAAAGAAGAAATTGGAAAACAAGAAAAGAGGCAGGCATATCTAAGAAATCAAATTGGTGCGGCCACACAAAAGTCTTATCATCATCATTATCATCTTATCATGCCTCTGGATTAAATACGTCGTCCTGTGCCCTGTTAAAAAGTCTTAAAGGAATTGTTAATCAATTAAGAGACAAACCTTAAGGAAGACAGGAGGCTTCCGGAAGACCCCCACTCCTGGCGGTGTACCTGTCAAGATGACGTCACCTGGACATAGAGTCACTATCCTGGAGTTGGAGAATTACAAATAAAGGCAGAATGAATCTGGTGAACATTACATGGACACTGAGTCTAAATAAACATTCATATCTCTGCCCTTATTCAAGACCACTGGTACTTTGTCAAATTATTCCGATACAGGCAGGCACACATTTTTTCTGAACCTGTTCCTTATTTATTTATTTATTTATTTCATTTTATGTTTTGTTTTATGATGTGAAGCACTAATCCAGTACTGTGAGAACCAAAGTTCCGGATTCTGCATGAGCAACTACAGAATATAATGATAAAATGGTTTTTATTGTCCAAACAGTACCCGTGCAGTCGCAGCCTTTATACGGCTGAATTGATGCAGGGTATCACATAATAATCAATACAGATCACAACAATGAAATAATAATACACACATGATACACATATTTGTTCCACAAATTTTTGTGGAACTGTCGCAAGGGTTTGTGCGGCTGCCATTCGGCGCCACAAGGTGACCTCAATACGACTTGCCTCTCTCACTAAAACATACGTGAAAAGTGAGAGTAATTACCTTGATATCCAGGCCACCAGGGTTGGCACCTGGAAGACCAGCTGTTCAGTGCTGCTGTCCTGGACTGTGTTTCCGTTCACCCGACACCGCAGGCCGAGGGTATGGGGGTCTATGGACAACAAAATATTCACATATTCTCTCTGATCGCACCCTAAACCACAGGCCCTGGGTATGGTGGTCTACAGACAATAAAATATTCTCTTTTTTCTTATATTCTAACATTTCATGACTAGACATGGTAACAGCACACTCAAGTAATATCAACTTATTTTATGTCGCCACCAACACAGAGGACAAATACAGGACAGGACACTCGGGAAGTCATTTTGTGTAAAGTGCCTTTCCCAAGGGCACAAGATTGGTGGCATGTCAGAACACGGGACCTCTTGGTACTGAGCTAAAGTCCCAAAAGGGGCATCCTGCTCAGGAAAAAAAAATAGGTACTCGCCCTGCAGGTGCGGCCAGTGGTGGTTGTGCCATGAATGACTAACAAGCTAGTGCTATACAATAATGTTTGTGTTGAAAAAGAATAACAAAAAGTGATGGCCACACTGGGACTTGTCCATTATTAGCTCTGGGCTTGGGGGAGGCCCATGTGTAGGGCCAGACCCCACTTGAACTGGTTAAGTGGGGTGACTGCCACTAGGTTTGGAGGCAAGGTGTTCCACTCAGTGACAGTTCTGGGGAAAAAAAACTTCAAACTATCTTTTTCACCCTCTGGTTAAGGTCTTACCTGGAATCTCATCCAAAAAATCAGTCCAATGCATAGGAGATCAGGTTTCTGTCACCATAGAAACCAGTCATCCCAGCCTCGAACACTATGACAACAGACAGTCGGCGTAATCGTACATTACACTGAACGACTTGTTACACGTAACCTTTGAACATCTAACTTTAAACATCGACAGGATTAAGATTCTATTAGACTTCTTAGAGAATATCTAATGACTAATATATAGGCATTGGCCATCAAGCTTCTGGGGGCCTAGCCTGAGTGGCTAGCTCTCAAGTGGACAACTCTCCATGGCCAGTGTCACCAACCAAAGGTAGTGGGTGCTACCTGAAACGTCTGTTTCCAACATCATATTGAGTTGATTGAGTAGCTGTTTTGGGGCATATAAAACCACACATACCTGGAATCTCATCCTTCGTGACGATCGCGGGCCCGAGCGGACAGAAGGAGTCAAAGGTCTTTCCCAGAAGCCATTGCCCGCCGTTCCTCTTCATCTGCCAATCACGCGCACTGACGTCGTCGGCAACGGTGTACCCGGCAACGTGGTCATACACATCCTCCTCCTGTGAGATTATAATAGATACTAGTAAGCATGTCGGCAGAGCATACTGTACCTACGCGAAACCTGTAATGTATTGTGCATAGCACTCCATCAGAACGTGTCATATAAGGTCTGACTGGTCGTATTCGTGTATATAAGGTTGATATCCTGTCTGTATTTTCCAAATGTTATTACGATTAAAGCTATCCTCTGCAACAGGAAAAATTCTAATGCAACTGTGATACCACACATCCAATGAAAACTGTGAAAAATCAGGGATTTGCACAGGTACAGTACGTTCTGCCGATGTGCTTGATTTTTTTTGGGAAACATGGTGGTCTACTGGCTTTTTAGTATTAAGGAGAGGCCTTAGCAGACCCCAGTACTGCGTTGACTCCTTGTTAAAGGTACTTAACACCTATTTCATTGTTTTTATTTAATTTCACTCACGAGAATGAATGGAAAGAATGAACAGCCTGTACCTACCTTAATGTCTTTTCCCTGTTTCCCAATCACCACAGTCATCTCCACCTCCCAATCTACCTGCTGTAGAAATACAGTAAAAACGGGTTAACTTTTTACAGAGTGTAAGGGTTAACATGTATACATGTAAAAAATTAATCTCAAACTGGTAAAAGACCCAACATTGTAAGTGTTGATGTACCATGTACTATGTATAAGAGCCACACACACACACACACACACACACACACACAATAAAATTAAGTTTCAGGGAACAAAAATACTGCAGCTTTGCAGTTGATACTATTTTGTGATACAAAAGTAATATCTAGAACACAAATATTTGCAGTCATGACTTTCTTGTGGAGACCAATAAAATGGTATCACAACATCCATGAATAGTTTCATCAGGTTGGTAATTCACTGAGTAAAGAGACTTCTTTTACACAACGGTCACCAAAACGTCAGTTAAATAAAAGACTTGGTTGTGTAAAAAGAGTCTCTTTACTCGGTATCACAACACGATTTACACTTTTTCTCTTATTACTAAGCTAAAAAAACCTTCTGAGAACCGAGAAATTGCCTTCACATGGCCCGAGGCTTACATCACTGTTGTCTGGATGGATGATGTCATCCTCTGGACCGGTGATGGTGTTGCCAAACTTGGAGAAGAAGATGGGCTCCTTGGGAATAGGGGCATTCTGTTCCAGACAGTGGTCTCTGGATGGAGTGGAAGAATAAGCTACGCTTTGATGCACGCCTTTCTACTGTAGCTGTAGTACACTCTCTTTACTTTCCTACCAAAAAGACTCTGGTCTACTGATGGGCAGAACTCTTTTCCATCTGTGTGTTATTTTGAATATTTGTTCACAATTTGAATAAGTGACTGATTGATTGATTGAACTGACAGTGTAGCAGTATCATCGTCAGATAGATAGAATATGTGCGAGCTCAGTCTTTTGGGCAGGAAAGCGACAAAGAGAGCATACTAAAGCTGTATGTATAAAAGGCTAACTTATCTAGGCTACGAATTAATAAGCTGCTTCACAGTTTGAACTGCACAGGTGATGTTTGATGCATTGTGAAGAAGCTGAAGGCGGTTTAATGGAAAAAGGAGTCCAGTCCGATTGGCAGAAAAAGCAGTCCAGTCCGATTTGGGGGTGGAAAAAGCAGTCTGGTGGTTTCTACGAAATTTTACAAAAGACCATAGGCACAACATTTTCTTGAGTGTGTACTTCTAGTTTCTATGGGTACCTCGAGTTTCTGCTTTTTCCGCCAATCGGACTGGACTCCTTTTTCCATTAACCTGCTGAAGGCTGCTGTTAGCCTGAGTGTCAGGCTGTCAGCCTTTTTAGCTTTTTAGCTTTTTGGCCTGTAGTGGATTGTGGGGAGCAGATGAAAACTAAAAAGGCTGACACTCAGGCTAACAGCAGGCAGCTGTGACAAACGAAACATGACTGGACATGGTATCAAGCATGGACCAGACAAGAACTGTTTACAAGTTTGTCTCTGTGCCTTCACCTTTAAATTAAGGGTTCAAAGTTGAAGCAATATATTGATTAATTTTGCAGTACAGTCACAGTACGTTTCAAACACATCTTTGCAGGGGAAAAGACAGTGCCGAAGCTGTGAAAGCAAAACAATTGTGAACATTTCAAGATTTACAGAGTATAATGGTTATTTTTCTGTCGGCTGCATGCTTACTTGTAGTTCATCCCTACACAGATGACTTTGCCAGGGTTTGGGACAGGTGACGTCAGGGTGATCTGGTCTCTGCGTAGAACGTGCTGTCCTGCATCCATGGCGCTGAGAAAACAAACAAACAAACATAACAAGAGTTTAATACAGGTCATCTTTCCTGCTATATATGCTTATGAGATTATACTGTCACAGTGGTGTCTTTTGTTTTAGAGTACTGCCCTTTGTACTTTTGACATGACAATTTATATGGGAGGATTTTCTAATCCCACCCCCGACACACACTTCTGTTAAAGAATCTTTGCTTTGTGCTTTGTTATATATTACTAATATAGAGAATAATTACTGAAACCTAAGATTAGCCCTACCTAATTTACTACTAATAGTAATACTAAGTAAGACTAAGAGAGACTTGCTTATGCCATCCTTTATATTGCTAATAGCTTCTATTTCTAGCCGAGAGCACAAAAGTCACAAAACTTTTGGTTGTGCACGTGTCAAATCAAGATTCTTCTATCTCACAACCATGACCCCTCACCTTTTCGCGGCATCCATTGCAGACTGTCCCGCTGCTAAGAAGCTGCACATGTCCCGTGGGAGGGCAGGGCTGGCTGCTGACAGGTCCAACACACCTCCTCCTGGTGCCACCTCCACTCCAACCTACATACATGGGAACAACACTGTAACATGTCCCAGGGAGGGCAGGGCTGGCTGCTGACAGGTCCAACACACCTCCTCCTGGTGCCACCTCCACTCCAACCTACATACATGGGAACAACACTGTAACATGCCCTACCTACATACATGGGAACATGCTCCAGGGGACTGGAACTGTAACATGTCCCTGGGGAGGGTGGGGCTGGCTACAGACAGGTCTAACACACCTCCTCCTGGTGCCACCTCCACCCCAACCTACATACACGAGAACAACACTGTAACATCTGTGTCTGTGTCTCTATGCTGGCTATAGCTGGTATACAATCACCCTTCAGCTATACAGATACAGCTTCTGTACAAAAAGACAAGAAATTCTGCTTTCTGCTTATATATATATGACCAAAGAGTCATGGCAGTGTTGCAAATCGCCCCACGTATACCCCCCCCCCCCTTTCCACCACCACTTCGGGGCACGCCCCCTTCCAGCTCAGCAAGTTTAAGATGATTCTTCAATAATTGACTAGAAAATTCGAAGATGGTGCAAAACATTAGAGTGTTACAAGGGAGGGAAGGTGCCAACTGGTCTCAATAAAAAGTGATTTTCATTCAATTAGAAGTCCATGATGACTTTCATTCAAATCAACTAGTATAAAAGTCATTTTAAGCAAGAGTGCATACTTTCGAAGAAGAAAAAAGAAACAACCACCTACCCGCGGAGTACCATCGCTTCCCCTCTCCCTGAACGACACCAGGCGCATCCTGTCTGGACTACAGACACTGAAATGGCGTAATAGAAAGCCGGGTACGTCTCGGACTGTCGCCCTGGTCCGGAGAAGACAGTGAGCTCCCCAGGTATGGGTTAGAGTCCGAAGGAACGAAGTCCGGACGAACATGTCATGTGGCCGAGCAGGTAACAACATATAAGCTGAACTCTGACCCAACAGCTGATTGGTAGGACTGGCCCACTCTTGTATGGGGTGTTTTGGAAGAGTGCGTGTGTGCTTGAAAGCATGACTGTGTATGTTTGAGTGTATTAAAAGATGTACAACAGTAAATGTGTGTGTTTGTGGCGAAGTCCGGACTAACATGTCATGTGTGGCGAGGCAGGTAACAACACAGGCTGAACTCTGACCCTGCAACAGCTGATTGGAAGGACGGGCTCACTCTAGTATGGGGGTGTTTAGCAAGCGTGTGCTTTTGTGAAGATATGTGCCTATGTTTGTGTATTTAAAAAAATTTGTATTTCTGTGTATGATGATCTGTGTGTATTTGTAGATATTTGTGGGTGTGAACGATTTTTGGGCAGTGACCTGCTTCTGTGTTAATCAAAATATTATCTATTTTATTCATTCAGACTCCCTCTATTCCCTCTAGCTAGGGGACTGTCAGGTGTACAGTACCTATTGTACTGGTACTAGTAGCTTTGCATAAGGATACTAGTACAATACATAAATGGCCTTTATGCTGCATCATGTACTGCATATCTTAAATGATACGAACAAAGAAACAATAAACTATTATGAAAAGACAAAACGTTTTATTCCTTCATGTTGAATATTCTGCCAGCATTTCATTCATAAATAGTGTCATATACAAAACAAATTTTTCAAGGCACCAAATATTGCAGATGTCCCTCTACACTTGACTTGACTTGACATAGTTGCCCAGTAGTCCCAAACTATATGGTTAAATACACAGTCCAAATCCCACTTCCCATCTGCCTATACATGTACATACATTAAAGGCACTCTATGTAGTTTTTTGCGCAAAAAATTGAAATATTCTAATTATACTAAATTTCGGTGTTATTAGCAGTTACTATCACTTTTCAACACATTTGTGTCATTATTTCACATTTTTTTCGTATATTTTGTCCGTTCAAACAGTCCTTCTTCAGTTCCCGGTGCCACCGGTTTGCTCAGGAAAACAACAACAACATACAGGGGTTGCCCCCTGGGGTGGCTAATTGGCCCGGGCATGCCAGGCTTGATAGACAGGGGCAGACGTCACAAAATATACCCTCCTTAGAAAAAACTCATATCTTTCACATGAGGTGGAATATAATTATCAACTTAGAGTATTTTGTTGGGCATGAATAAACTGTGGTCATTATCCCTTCAAAAGAGATAAAAAATCTGGTAAACGATTAGGTATTTCAGAAACTGGTAAGCTATCAACTGACACCCCACTGGGATGTAGGTCAAACCACTGGGAGTGGACCATACCATATGTGTGGTTTGGCCAGAGGTTGAAGATCATTCACAGTTTTCTAAGCTTCTAAGGAGCAAGGATGTTGTATTTTTTGCTGTGGAGTATAATTTTGGAATACTAATGGGTTAAGCCAATGTACTATGTAAAGAAAAGAATAAAAAATATACTTTTTGTATTGTCAAAAAACTACATAGAGTGACTTTAATGCTTGCTTACTGCGTACATACACAGTAACACATATTAAATACATCACAGAATGTTTACACCTTAGAAACGGTAACATAAACAATTATAAGTCAAAATGTTACTATTTATCTATATACCTATTCATTATACAAAATGTAGTTTACGAAAGCCACTGTACTATTGTTACATGTCAATAGTTGTTTGCAGATGGGTATACAAAGTGTAGTTGTAGAAAACTTTACGAAAGCCACTGTACTTTTGGTACATCAGGCCTCGAAATTAACTTTTCCTCCTATTATCCCACTATTTTCCCAAAAATAAATTTCAATTGCCCCAAAGTAAGGATGAACTGTCCCAACCTGTTTTTGGGCATGACTTCAACTTGAAATCAACTTTATTATGGGTTCACCACACCACGAAGTGGTGTGGTGAAACCATATTGCTTTTTCTGATGTTTCTTCTTCTTCTTCTCCTCCTCCTCCTTCTCCTCCTGCCATTTTTTAAATGGATTCAGCTTCTTCATTTTAGGGCCCAAGGTCCTGAAATTTGGTATGGAGGTACAGTGGGCAAATACCCCTAGGCGTTTTTTAAATTATTGTGATACAGGCTTTTAGAATGGTTTTATTTGAGTTTTTTGGCTGTGTTATAGCAAATGTATTACTGTGTTAGGGTGCCTTGTTTACCACGTTTGGACATGAGTCATCACAATGGAATGCAGGGCATCAACCAATAGGCATGCAGCTTTCCTCTATACTTCTTGCTGATTGGCTGTTGGGATTTAACTTGATTAACA